ACAATAAAAAGAAACTGTGTCTCCAGGCGAGAAGTAAGACGCAATCAGTCATCATAAATGAGCAGAAAAGTGGAAAGGCTAAAAAACTTTTTAGTTCCTCAGCACTAAAACATTGTCAGCTTTGAAATCGGAGAGAGTGTTGACAGCGTGGTGAAAAAGGCCCATCAGAGATTCCACTGACTCAGACGACTACAAGATGTTTGATGCATCTCTGGCAGCCATGACCCATTTCTGCACAGTAGCAGGAGTGATCAAAAATGTTAGAACAAATGTTATTGCTTTCCGATGCTTCCCTGCGGTTTTGGACTTTCTGAGTCTTGACTTCCTGCGAGAGGAACTGTTCGCCCATTCTGCACAGCCATTACCAACCAACAAATGTGTGCTGGTGCACCACACGCAGGCAGAGTAATGCCTCGAGGATCACACAGATCCGCCACTTCCCTGAAGTTAATGTATTAATACCACAATGGAATTATACTAAATCACGAGTAAAAGTCCTGCATTGACATTTTTACTTGGTAAAAGTGTTCAAATATTAGCAGTAAAATGTACTTTCGTATCAAAATGAAAAGTGCTCATTCTAAAAATCGGTCTTCGTCGCAGTTTTAAATCCTCAATATTGGAGAAAATTTAATGATGAAGCATGAAGATCTCTAGAGCTGGAGATAAAATGTGTAAGACCCCACAAAAGAGAGACTACATGCTCCTTTCCTGGCTGAGAAAACTCTCTGAAACTCTTTAGATAATCTATAAAAGTCATCATCATCGAGCTGAAGGAGGTTCCGTTCCTTAGATAAAGTGAATAATTTTTGCTTCACAACAGGATTATTGCAGGACCTCAGCTACAGCTGAATACAAAGTTACTGCTGAGATAAATGTAGTGAAGAAAGAAAAAGTAAAATATATGTTACTAAATTTCTTTAAAAAGACCTCAAAATGAAGTGAAGTATTGTACCTGCCACCACCCAGTCTCTCTTTGTGTTTTTAAGCCTTCACACACACAAAAATGTCTGTCTGAGGATGCTGAAGACCTTGAAATCCAAGACAAAACATATATATGAAATTGTTCTTCCCTTGGAGACATTCAGCCCTTCAGTCCAGTAACACATTTTATTTATTTATCCTCTGAATAGCATCTCCTAAATCCTTTTCTCTTAAGGAAATACATTAACCAAGTTATGGTCATCTAAAATTCTGTTTCACTGTGATTTGAACAAGTCTGTGATCATGTTTAAACATAATTTAACGTGTGTGTCTGGATGCGTCTGCACTTTAATTTCTCAGCTGTTGTGTCTGATTACATTATGCAACATTTTTAACAGACTGCAATCTACATAAAGAACTCCAACTACTCTCAATTCTGGTGAGAGTGATTAAAAAAGGTGAATATTAAAGCAAAATGTTTACTTATTTTTTGTTAGTTTAAAAGTGTGAACAGTATTTACACTGACTGTAGGCACTATATTCTATCTTGTATTTTGCACAAGTTGGACTGTAAAAGGTTTACACTTGAAATTCTTCTTATGCTGTCCTAATTATTGACCTCTTGACCTCCTGAGCAGAATACAGAATATTACAAATAGATTAGCTTCCAAGGGACCGGAAAGTTTTGTTTATGACTTGCACTGTAAACTTTGAGACAAAAATAATAATAAAAATAAGACAGACAGGCCTTCTATAGTGAATGTTTATTTTTTAGGCCCACTCATTAACAGGATGTTAGGCTTCCTTCCAAATATAGCACCATTTTTTCTGGATTTTGAGAAAACTGGCAAAAGTGTGAATTAATGTGCTTTTTCATCCACAATATTAGGAGTTGGTTTGTCGAGATGGTGCCACTCATTTTCCAGTCAAGTACCATTATACCAATGCATGAGAAGAGGACACAAAAAGATGATAAATGAACGCCAGTAAAAAACAATGTAGAAAAAAGACTTTACAGTCTGATGTTTTCATCTGCCACTATTTTATGTCTCTTCAGTTGATGTTGAAGTCGCATGCTTCATGTATGTCAATATTATATTTTACCAACTTTTCATATTTTTATGATATTTCAACAAATCTTAAAAAAATAAAATAAATAATGAGCAAAATAATAATGCAAAACAGCAGGTAGTTGTAAACTCATTTGTTGAAAACACTGTAGCAGGGCAACATTTGGAGACCTGGGGCCTCATGTACTAACGTTGCGTACGCACAAAATTTGTGCATACGCCATTTTTCACGTTCACGTTCGGATGTACTGAAAGTGAAATGTACTAAGAATGTGCGGTCCTCCACGGCAGCTTCATTGCTGGCGTACGTACATATTTTTTGCTTATGTCAGTTGTCAGTTGGCGACACTCACAGGCGATGCGTTGAAATTGCATAGCCGAAATTAATAATTGCTCTTGGGACAGTTGCACTGCATGCGAAAGTCATTATTATTTACAATCAATCAAGCAATTACACAATTATAAATAATTTGCAGATTATTTGTGTTAAGGGGTTATTTACTGCAGCGCGCAATCCCCTACTGCGTATGGAGGATAAGTAGAACACACTCGAATTATCTTTAGCCTCTTGGCACATTTATTTAACAGTTAACAATAAAGTGCGGACTGATGTGCCGCCGTCTCATCAGCATGGCTCACACACAACAACTAGCGCTCACTGGGAGCGTGGTGACGTCACGTCTTGTACGTACCGTAACCCTTTCACAATACAGCAGTACAGTTTATCAGTGTACAGTAATACAGGGACTCCACCACCTGTGGCCTGAAGGCTCTGGCGATGGGCAGATATGTCTTCATATCCGACCACTTCTTTTTAAACTCTGCTGCGGTGCGGTTCTCCGACCCTACCGAGTTTACTGCCTGTGCCACGCAAAATAAATGTTTTGGCCTCTACCTCCGTCAGCAGCACCTCCAATTCACACTCCGCAAAATTTCTTTTTTCCTGGCTTTTGCCATTTTCCTAAAGACAGCACTATCTAGGCCTATTTATACTAATTAGCATATTCAAATCGGTAATTGAGGGAGGGGACAGGGTGGAGCGTTGTGCTCGTCCATGTGCGCTCAATTTCACGTTGATTGCGATGTACAAAGACAATGTGCGTGGGATTCTGCGTAAACACGTTTTAATACATCTGAATTTTTTTGTGCGTACGGAACTTTCACTCTTTCAGTGTACGCCACATTCTAGTAGGAAATCCACGCAAGTCTTAGTACATGAGGCCCCGGGAAGACTTTAATCTTGACTTGGACTCAATTTGACTTCAACTTTATTTCAACCTTATTTTCAAACCTTATTTTATCTTCACTTGTTCTTCTCCATGCAGAGGATTTTCATCGTTCACATTATATCAGGAATATGTACTTTGACTTATTTGATTGGCCGACACAGAGCCTTGCTTGGTGATGACACATTTGTTGAGCCAGGTTCAAATTTTTTTTTGCCAGAGCCAACAGCACTCCCACCGAGCCAATGCAGCAGTCCCACTGAAATGAGTGTGGGGGCTGCGTGTGTCTGTCAGAACTCTTATTAAAAAAAAACAAAAAAAACAAACAAACACAGCTTTAGCGAGCAAATCTGAAGCCTGCGGTTGTAGCTGATGTTGACTCTGTGTTTACACACACACATGCACATACAGAGAAGAGAAGCAGCTTTTCAGAGTAAAACAAATGAAAACTTAGACAAATCGAGACTGAAGGCTAAATAATATGTAATAATACGATGTGCACAAAAACAGAAGGACTGTGTACAAAGACAACAAAATAAAACCATGGGAGCATGAATAATTACAATGTGAAGTACTTTGTTACTGCATTTGTTTGCATAAAAATCTGGTATTAACACTGAAACATAAGCATTCAGTTTTATTTATTATTTGTTTATTTATATTTTTATTATACACTATCTCTTATAATAATGGTTTTTACTTCTTCCATCTCTTAGTTAAGTATTCTTACAGGCCACCAACAATATTCTTCCAACATATTCCTCCTTCTCTAAACCTTTGTGCCCCTTTGATACATAAATCTTTTTAAAGTTATATATATATATATTTTAAACATATTTTGTATCTCGTTAAGCCCAAAGAGAGTGACAGCAGCCATAATGGCTCATTAATGGCCATGTTTCTGAAGAGCTCTCTCTTTGCTGCTGATGAGGTACACAGAAAGCCGCCACTGAGGTTTTCTTAACATGTTCTTGAGTAGTTCCTGTGGTTGAACGAAGGAAGAAAACCATAATGCGCTGCCGCTGGTGAACCGCGGGGTCTATTAACTCATTCCCCATAAAGTGCCTGCCTGAGTCGAGACATCCATCAACCTTTCTAGAAAGTGGTGGGGGAAAAAAAAGAAAAGCATCACAATGACCATGAGGAGAGAGAAGAGTTCCGGGCTGAAAGATCACACACACACTAAGTTTTGCAGTCAAGTTTTAATGTCAGAGAGTTTCTTGGTGGTTTATAAAGGTCACCAGAGCAAATTACTGTGATCCGTTGATTCAGTAATAAAGCAAACTTGACTTACCACACACACGCACACAGACAGATGGAAATATTGTACGCATGTCAGACACACACACTCACACAGCCCCAGGTGTTGAACATGTTGAGTTTTAACGCTATTTTAGTCATTGAAAATGATGGTCCCAGCTGTCTTAGGGCCTTCTGGATACACACACACACACACACACACACACACACACACACACACACACACACACACACACACACACACACACAAGCATCTGATTAACCGAGGGAGTGCATGAGTTCAGGTTTATAATCCATTTTTTCTGTTTAAGAACTGATAAAATATTCTCTGAAGGAGCTAGGTACTCTTTTTTTGTCTTTTCTTGCTTTATTATTTCACACACAGGGGAAATTACGGGAATGTGGCGGTAAAAGGTATCGATTCACAGATTTGTCAGCAGACTTTTTATGAAAGCAAATCATTTTCAGGTGATTCTGTTTTTCTTTAAAAGAAAAAAAATGACAACACGACACACTGATATCAAGTCTACTGATTTATTTCCATTTTCAGAGTAATTTGTTTTCCTCAATGGATGTACTAGATCTATTATATTAGCAGGGATAATATCTGTGGATATGAGTCTGTTGAAATTAGATTACACAAAATAAAATTGCCAAATATTAGTTTATAAGGATCCCAAGACATTTCTTTGACTAAAACTGGGAAAACTGCTTTCTGAATGAACTTAAACATGGCCTTTTAAATGCATTAATTGATTACCAGGACATATGTACAACAGTTTAACAAGAGGACAAATTAAGTGGGTGTAAGTTAATTTGCTAGCTAAAGTAGCATCAGAGTACATGATACAAAAACAGTTCCTCATTCAACTGAGGTTTCTCTACAAAAATACATCTAATAACAGCTTCTTTTCTTCTCTAATTTACACAGTTTTATCACAGTAATAAATAAAACCTACGTTCATAGAGAACATATGGTTTCAACCCCTTGTGGTACAGAGCTACAGGGAGAGAACATGATGCTGTATGCGTGCTGTCACCCCAGCTAAATGTGTTTCTGGCTTTTTCTTGCACTTGGAGTTGTAAGTAGGAGAAGTCGTGACTTTCATGTTGCTAATTCTGTCCATAAACACCTAAAGAAGCAAACGCTGTAAGCATGTCACTCTGGGCTCCATAGTGTCACCATGGCGACATGTCCAACATACTGCCGATCAACTGGTGAGGAATCAGCAGTTACCCACTGACGGCCTCTGGGAAAGACAGCAAAGCAGGCAGGGCTCCAACTGAAAAGTGTAATGCTCAAACGGTGTGTATCCAGCCTTTTAGGATCAATACCACCCAGTATTTTACTGTGCTCGCTTGAAAAAGAATAAAGATGGTAATCCGCCCCCACAAAATCTGCTTCTAATAGTCCAATTTTCATGCATATTTTTATTTGTTTTTGTTTGTTTGTCATTGCTGTGTGCACCAGAATAATCTATAGTCGTTGAGATTGATAGGCGCTGCCAGTTGTGCCCCAAAGCCATCGCAGCCAGATGTTCGACTTCAGAGGAGCGAGAGAAAACGTCTGAGAAAAACAATGCGTTAGTAAGTGTGGGAGTTACTCTGCACTTCCCTCATCGTTACTTCTGCCATTCACACCATTTCTGCTGCACTTAATGAAACAAAGAAGAAGAAGAAGAAGAAGAAGAAGAAGAAGGGCGGATTCACACTTGTGGCTTTGTCCTAACCCTTGGCTTTATAAGGAAAAATCCACCCTGAGGGGCTGTTCAGATAGAAAAGAGCCACTAGGAAGGAACACTTTGAACTTCCTGCAATGAAAGGGTGATGTTGTGAGGTGCTGAAATGCATCTGGTGATTTTTTTGTCACGGTGTGGAAAATCACCCGTCCAATTTCAACCGATGAACAACCACAGGGGGACATCACACCTCATCTCTTCCTCTACCTCCACCAGGGACATGGCCCTATTTAATCTGGGTTTGATGAGGTGAATCACGCTCTGTGTGTTTTTGCCTTTGTTTGGTCAGATGAGTCACTAAATGTAAAGTTATTCACCGTGTTGGGTTATTTTTAGTGCGGCTGCAATGGAGTGAGATGGAAGAAAATCAGCAGTCTAAAACGTCAAGAGTAAAGGTCAGACGCTGGAGTCAATCCCTCAAAATCAAAGAGCAGAGGCCTATTTCTAAACTTAACATTTTGCTCTGACGTTCAGCAGTCACAGGGAGAAATACACGGCAGAAGATGCTGAGATACAATTTGCACACTAATGACAGCACCAGAAGGCCTGCATACAGCAAAGGGACACAAGCTGTATCCCATTTCCATGCTACAAACAGTAAACAGTATGTACTCTATAGTGATTTTCATATTATGCGATTTTTGCTGTTAGTTGTTGTATTTTGTACTAACAGAAAAGAATAGTTGCCCCATTGGATGTCAATCAAACTGGCACTTTAAAATGCCACTGCCAATTAAACTTCACAAAGAGAAAACACGTTTTTTCCCTAAGGATTTCATACTTAATTTTGTTTTTGTGAGGTGTACCTGAGGCTTTTTTCTAACTGTAAGCAGCTTCTTATTTTTCCTTTAAATGCAGTGTATTGTGGAGCAATAGTGTCCATCAACAATGCACCCAAAAATAACTTAATTGAACCTAGATACTGATATCTTTGGGAGCAATTAATTTAATCACTTCATTAGTATGGAGAAAGGACCTAGGACACGGTTATTATGTGGTTTGAGAGCTTCCTTTCAGCTAAGGTTCAGTTGTATGTATGCGTGCTGTTCAGAACCCTTTGGGTCATTTCTTTCTCAATTGTAGGGATTTTCAATTTTATTTTCAATTTCAAAGCTGCTTCCCCACAGGAACCAATGTTGCTTGATGCTCAGGTCTGTGTGACTTGTTGTTGAGATTTGGTAGGTTACGTTTCTCCCCTCTCTGCAAAGACTGGCAGAGAAGTTTACGTGTATCTTTGAAAAGCCATAATTTCAGCCTTAACTTCTGCTCCACTAGCTTTCTTTGTCTGCTGCCCTTTTTCAAGGGGGCTTTTTTCAAGGGGGGGTTTTTTCAAAGGGCTTTTTTTCCTTCGCGCTCTGAAAAGCTAAACCATGATACTCCTGTTTCCTGTCCACGTGCAAAAAAGCCAAATGGCTCAGAGACAGAGAAGAAAAACCATCTTGTTAACATTCAGCTAACTACAGCTCCCATAAGGCTCTGACAGAGTTTTTGAAACTGATGCTGCATTCACATCATGTCAGCTTAATAGGGAGAACAAGAAAATCTTCAATTCAATTAGGTAGAATTCAGGCAATATTCTAAGAAATTTAGCTTCATTGCTAGCCTTGTAGCCCACCCATCCATTAGCTATACCTTACATCCTTAACACACACCTGCCACTAGGCTAGCCCTGTAGTCAAAGCAGATAAATGAAAAATAAGGGCAAAATAAGCAGCTATATTTACCATGTTACATATTTGTAGTGGTGCGGTTAAGTGAACTGAAAAAAAGAAGCTACATTAGTGTGTAAATGAGATCTTTCTGGCATTAGCTTTGTAGTTCTATAGTTCCTATTAGCCTAGATATAGTAGCTGCTAGCGGATATCTCTGGTATGCTGTTACTGAATGCTAACAAAATGATTGTTGTTTTATGTTTGTTGAATTGATAACATGCTCAACTTTTTCTAATCTACTTAAATTGGAGATATATTCAATTTTATGTAAATATTCATTTTGGACAGGATTGTTTCAACCTTTCAGAAGGACTGATGGAAGAAACTTTCTACTTCCTGATTGGGCTAGCATAACGGAGAGAGGCTAGCTTGAAAAGTCATGCAGGTCATCAGCTCCTCACGACATCAAGCTGAGAGCGACAAGTTCACATCGGCCTTGTAAGTAATTCAGGGAAAAGCAGAAAATCACCAACTGAAGTAGAAGTTCTCAGCGGGAAAAAGAAATGTAAATTTCAACAAGAAAAAAAAAAAAAAAAAAACACCTCCTGCATTTGTGATCACAGACTGAAGATATCTGAGAGTGTACAATGATGGATTTGTCCTTCAAAGTCACAAACCATAGTTTAACATTTCCAGCATGCTTTAAACAGAGCAAATTGGTTTAAAATGCAAAACAGGAGCATCGACTGATTTCTGCCGACGGAAACGAGCCCAGCTGTGTATCCCCACCACGATTCCGCTGGCTGCACACCTGAGGCTCATTTTGAGCAGGATTGCGACTGATGAAGATAATTAGCCATCATTTTTTTTCAGATGTGTGAATCAGTGCTTGGAGTGTATGGACGAGGTGATGAGGTTGCCGGAGGTTTGGCTTTAAGTAAGATTGGTTTTGTTTTTCTACTCAAGCTCTGAAATTATTATCCCTCGCATTTCATCCTCGCTTGGAGTATGTAGGTAATGACACCTGAAAGCTTCTTTCTTCCAACTTTTTTTTCCTGAAAATTGGAAAATGTTGCTTTTTAGAATCTATTTATATGCCTCGTTTTTTAATTTATTAGAACAACATCTGTAAGGGCAAGACTGCAGGATGTGGCGGGGGATACAGAGATGGGTGGTGACTCTGCAGGGGGTGAAACGCCGTTGCTAAGGGATACGGACCGGGGGCGTCCAGTAGAGGGATGGGGGGTGATGTGTAGAAAGAGGGAGGAAGAGGGGGAGGAGGAGGAGGTGGGGGTGGTGGTGGAGGGGCAGGTGGTGGATTGAGAGTGAGAGATGACAGATGTGGCGAGAAAGAGGGGAGAAGATGAGGGTATGAGTGGACAGGGAGGTGCGGCGGAGGCGGGAGGAGGGAGAGGTGATGCTGGATGATGGTGTGATGGAAGGAGAAAGAGGAAGAGGAGGAGAAGGAAGGCGGGAGGAGGAGAGGAGTGTGGAGGGGGATGCAGTGCGGGGGGAGGGCATGAGGAAAGCAAGGCCTCTTTTCTGGGTAGAGGTGTTCAAAGTCCATCTCCTTCCTTCTCTCTCTGTCCTCTTTTTCTTTCTCCTTTCTCCTCACCCACTCCTTCTCCCACTGTTCTTGCTTCTCCTTTACCCTTTTCCTCTCCAGCTGTTTCTCCTCCTCCTCCTTTCTCTGCTTCTCAACATCTCTTTTCTCTTCTTCCTGCTCCGTATGTACGCTCACGAGCGCAACAGCTTCCGTTGCATTTGTGTCGCTGCTTTTATGAACAGCGTTAGCACAGTGATAACAATCAGAGACATGATTACTGTGAAAATGATCACACTGACCACTGTCAATATCAACACAGCTGTCTCTGTCACTTTGATCAATACCCCTGCAAGTTGTGTAATCAATTGCTGAATCAGAGAGGTTGCTTTTGTCTTGAATGTGACTCTGCACTTTGGTTTTATCCTCCTCACTGTGACCACTTTTGTTGTTTTTCTGGTAACTGTGATAGCATGTTTGATTGGTTTTACAGTTACAGCAGTCATTACACTTGTCTGTACTGTTACCGGCACCGCTCTGAGCTGTAGTTTTCCCACTAAAATCTGATGTCTTGTCCGTATTGTTCCTGGAATCAGAGTCTGTGGATGTTTTACCATTCTCTGTTTGCTTGTTTCTATATTGACAGTAGTCAGCATTTGTCTCATTAGTGCTACAGGTAAAGAAGTCTTTTGAAAGTAAAGCCACAGGTGTGTCCATGGTGTTACAGGTAGGTTTGTCACTGTCCACATGATCAGGAGAATGATCTTTCTCTGTGTCACTCTTGAAATTCATCTCGCTACCCTCACAGCTTGGGTTGTGTTTGTCATTTTTGTTGCAAGGGTTGTCATGAGTAGCACTACTGATGCCAGAATCATCATGTTTTTCATCCCTGTTACTCTTTTTATTACACTGACTGTGGTCACTCAGTGTGTTACAGGTGTGACAGTCACTGAAAGGTTCCTCATCCCAGCACTTCCTCTTTTCCTCAGGGCTATATTCACTGTAGTCATCGGCATTGCAGTTGCCGCATTCACTGTCATCACAGTGGCAGTAGTTATTCAGTTTGTCAGTAGTGGTGCAACTAAATGCTCCCCCACTGTTATTTGTTTTATGACACAGACGGTGTTTTGTTCTGCAAAGAAAGTGGCAGTCAGTGTTATTCTCAGTCATGTTGCCCTCTGGACTGCACTCGGCTGTGTCGCAGCTCAGACAGTTGTCCAACAGTGTCCCAGTCTCGTTGCTGTTGAGTTTAAGTGCCTTTGTGGGGTCCTGCATACAAGAGGCCTCATCTACACCGACATCAGTGGTCAGCTCAACACTAGCTCTCTCCTGTCTCTGGGCACAAGTCCTCAAAGCAAAGGCAGCTTTCCTCGCTTGTCTGCGTCCCCGTTTCCGTTTCTTCCTCGGTATTTCCCCAACCTCTGGCAATTCCCTCTTCCTCTTGCCAGTTGTTACTGCTGTCTTCGACATCACTTCCTGTGAAATCTCATCACCGGGGAGGGTCATGTCTGTGCAAGCTGATCTAATTCTCAGTTGTGTTTCTGTCTGTTGTGCGGAGCAGCGTGGGGCCAGGCCTAACACCGGATTGCTGTGTCCTGCAGGTATTGTTTGTCTTTGACTACATGCTGTTTCTCTAAAGGGAGCAGGGACAAGGCTAATCGCTGGATCGCATGCTGTTTCCCTGTGAGGTGTAGGAACAAGACACATTTCTGGCTCATGTGTTGCATCTCGACAGGGAAAAGACACACCGCTAATCACTAGCTTACACACGTTTTCTTTAGCATCCTGAACAGCTCTTATCTCTGTCTTCCTCAGATTCCTTTGGTCCTCATCTCTCCGCCCTTCCTCCTTCCCTGCCTGTGTATTTTTGTGTATCTCCCCCGTCTCTCTGTCATTCTGAGCAGGGTCGGGTGTAATTGCAGGACAGCATGGCATCTGTATAACAGACCCAGGGACGGGGCTAATCACTGAGTTACATGCTGCACCCCTGCAGAGGAGCTTTCTGAGCCCCTGGCCCCACCCGGAGGCTGATTGCTGGGATTGATGCTGGCTGGCCTTCCGTTTCACCTGCAGACACAGCTGGTTACAACGATTACACCGATTCACGGGAAGATTACTTAATAGCTCTCCTCTCGTCTTGTCATTTCTACCTGCCCTCTCTCGCTCTGTCTGATCTCCTCTTATCCTTCTCTCTTCTGCCCTCATCCTCTTTTCTCTTTCTCCTACCAGCCGATGCGCTGCAAGATTACTTAATAGCCCTTTTTCTCTCCTCTCCTCTCTTTCTGTGCCCTCTCTTTTGAACCTCTCTTCTCCTCTCCCTTCAAACATCTGATTCTCAGAGAGACTACTTATTATCCTTCTTCCCCTATCTGGGTCTTTTCTATCTGTCTCTTCTCCTCTTTTCCTCCTCCCCCTCTTCCTCATTCCTCTCCTCACCCCACCCCTCCTCTTCCTCCTCCTCCTCCTCTTCCTTCCTGTTTTTTGAAGGCCTAGCGTTGGGGCAAGGTGGCATTCTGTGGAAACGGGAACAAATTTTAAAGCGCTTTCATCACGGCAGCCGCAGCGGTCCGGAACTGCGTCGCCACCGCTACAATGGGCTACAAGTTCCATAGGATTTCCTGCCTGTCCTCCTTCATCCTCTTCTCCCCTTTCATCTATCTTCCCTTCCCTTCCTCCCTCCATAACTTCCTGCCTCTCTTGGCAGTCGGGTTGTTTGATCACAGACGGCTTTATTCTCTCCCTCCCTTCCTCCAGCCCTCCTTTCTTTTCCTCACCCCCTTCCTTGGCCTTGTTATGTGCTCTGAAGTCATACAGTAGAGGGTTGATGCTGTAGGAGATGGAGGGGGCCGTTTTGGTGTAGCTGACCATCTCCGACGGCCAGAGAAGAACCCGGCTACCGTCTCGGCTCAGAACGCGACAAAACGGCTCTTTGGGACGATTCGGAGGCAAAGAAGTGGATTCTTTAGCCCAGTTTGATGGATAGGACTTTGAATTTTTGGGCTGTGTTTGGATTGAAGACTCTTTGGTCTCAACACCAGAAATCGATTTTTGAGGTGGATTTGTAGTGGGACAAAGCCGATCTTTCAATTGTTGGGTAGGGGGTAATTCTGTCCGATTGTCCACATGGTCATGGGTTTCAGCCACAACTGTGCTTACATTGTCAGAACTGGTATATTCTGGTATCCCACTGTTTAAATAAAGATGAGCTCCAGTCCCCCTTTCTCTTCCGACTTGGGCTCCAGTCCCATTCTCATTACATAAGGAGAGCTGGGCTCCATTCCCACTGATAACAGAGTCCTCAACTCTGATCCCATTGCGATTACATAAAGAAACCTGGGCTCCAGTCCCAGAGAGTCCTCCAGTTCCCCTCTCAGTAGACATATTGGCTCCAGTCTCAGAGTGCTGGATTACAATTTTACTGTCCACACTGCACTGGTTTCCAGTGTCCCAGTGATTCACACCTACATTGTCCATGTCTGCAGATACTGGAGATTTGAGCCGCTGATGTGCGACTTTCTCCCCCAGATCTTTGGCTCTTTCTTGCACTGTCACACCTTCTTGCTTCCCTGACAAGCTAGAGCCTCGCCCGGCTTGGATGAAGACGGCAGCTGATTGGTGAAGGAGGACACAGCTCCTTTTGGGCAGCGAGAAGGACACAGGACGGACTCTGCTGGGGACGGACTGGATGTCTGAGACTCCGAGTGGTCCACACACTGCCCTGCTACTGTTGATGCTGATGTTGGTTGTGTTGGAAATGGAGGTGGTGGTGATTTTCTTGCTAAAGCTGGTCACGGTGGTTTTGTTGAAAATGGAGCCATTAGTGGTGGTGTTAGTGGCAGTTGTTGGGATGTTATTGGGAGTAATGGGATTTCTTAAATAGTGATGAGCCCAAGGGATCTTGTTAAAGTGGCTGGTTTTGGTAGAAGTGTTGATATTTGTGTTATTGATGTTGTTGTTGGTGGTATTGGGTGTAATGGCCGCGGCTGTCAGGTCATTGTAGTCCATTTGGGTTTCGTTGAGGATGCAGGATTCAGCAGCAGTAGACGTAGTGTTGTTGGTGTTCATTTGGCCATACGCCCATTGTGTGTTGCTCAGGAGTCTGGTTTCCAGTGCAGGGTCCAGGGGAAGGAGTGGCTGGATCAGCGGAGTTTGAGGCTCTAGATGGAAGGGAGAGCAGAGGATTACAGCAGCTGACACTGGTTACATTCACATGCAAAACATAACAGGATTGTATACCTAACCTGACAATAAAGAAAGGATACATGTAGAAGAATACCATTCATTTTTAAAATTCCTCATACAGTAAGCTCCTTATGCATTTATTCAGCGTTCTGGCTCTTCACCATTACTCTTTTGTTGCTTTTAACACATTGAATGTGATTTATGGGTGTAGGATGGACTTAAGGAGAAACACAAGCCCAGAGATGAATGTGTGTCTCACTTAGACACGGGAAAAAATGAAGATTAAAGGTTTTCTTCTAACATGTAATATCCATTTTTGTATATCCCTTTTGGAGCACAACATGCTGCCAGACATTCATCTGCCTATACATCAGTGTGGCAGATGATTCAGACCATTATTTCTTGAGTGAAGGTTTTAAGATGACTCATAACTTTAAAAGTAATCCATAATGTGCCTCCCTCTAACACCAGAAACCCCTTTTGTTAAATATTTGAATTTTTGAAGGGAAGCCTTAAAATGAATTATTACTCTTCCAATACTAAATGTAAAAATACATTTAGCGCTCGGAAAGGGTCGACTTTAAATGCAGTTGTCAAACTTTTCCATTGGTTTAAACTTTAAAATGAGAAAAGAAAACTTTACTGAATATGCAAGTGATATATTTTCAGAAAAGAAAGGGTGAAAATTGATTATTTCTTTGAAACCTCAGGTATGCTGCCACCAAAATGTATTTTATGCTTTCTTTATTTTTAAAAAATGAATCCATCTTGCACCCTAAAATCCACTTGAGATGGACTGAAGGGAGCTAATATCGCCTCCTGAATCAGAACAAATTCAGACTGAATGACAAATTTAACTGGAAAATATTACTCCAATAACTGTATATTCACAGACAGGATATACACTCAGCTGCCAGTTTATTAGGACACCTAACTAAAATTAATGCAATACAACAGCGCTGTGATAAATCCTACGGTAATGTACAATTTTTGTTGAAACTGTTTTAAAGACTGATTCAACTTCATGGTCGTTTTGGAGCATTTAGTTTGTGGTGCTGTTGAGCTGCATTTACTTACACTTAGACTAAATCTTAGAAACACTTCTGTCATTGGAATAAATACTGACTTTAATTTAAACTAGGTGTACCTAATAAAACAGCAACCAGGTGTCGCTTTCTTTGGTATATTGAAAAGTAGATACAAAAGTAGAAATAAAGAAATAATAAAGTATAGCAGTAAAAGGGGGATTTGTGCATTAGAGCTCTGTAGCAACCAGAAAGTGGAATAGCAAAATCCTTTGCTCGTCCATGTATAATAGTGACCGTTTACACTTTCAGTCCCTAAATTAACCCAGTTAAACTGGATTTATAGCCGATGCAAAGCTGTAAGTCTAAGCTGAAGTCAGTATATAGAACGTTTTTGTTTGTTGTTCAGTGTTGTCTTTCACCCGTTAATGTCATAACAGCCCTAGAGGGATGGATCGTACAGGATCAGGCTTTGTTCTGCTTTCATTATATTCCTCATTCTAACTGTGTTTACATTGTTTCACTCACTTAACCCTAACCCTATAAAGCCACGGATGGAAGGTTTGCCTTGTCTTATTACAAACTAGAAACGACTACTAGTGCTGTGCAATCACTATGTTTATGTTCTAATTGTGATAAAGAACGACCACCACGCTGCACAGAGGGTTTGCAGTGGAGAAATGTTTTCGTTACTGCAGAATTACCTGAAAATAAGAATAGTTGTGTTTCCGTTACTTTAGAATGAGCCATTTCTAGATGGGGCCTTTCGCAAATTGTTGTGAGTTTTGTGGCCTGCGTAGTTTTTTTTTTCCATGTTTGGTATGGGAGGGTGAGGCAAGGGCGTTGCAATCAGCAACTACACTGATAGATGCCACTAAATCCTACACACTGGTCCTTTAAGGGAGTGCATTTATACCATCTGCTCTCCTGTGAAACCATGCTGCATCTCTTTTGTAGAGCAGTTTACACTCCAGTAGACCAGGATTATATAATTTTGGCTGCTATGGCTCAAGTAATGCAATAGCTTGCTTCATTCTGGGGCTCTATATTCACTCAAAGGTCAGCACTGTCAAGACGGTTTGGAGTTGGTCAGTGGCAGGAATTTGTGTGACAAAGTTCACTTAAGTTGAACTCAGGCCATAAAGCTCTGTGCTAATTTACTACAGAAAATCCACTCATCACTGCGATTCCACTGAAATCAATTGATTATAGTCTGAAATTCTGCTAGTGTGACCGAGCCCCCAGAGTCACTTTTCATTCAGTGTATAATTGCCCCGTACATGTACATGTGTACCACTTCTTCCCGAAACCATAACCTCTCATTAATCTGTATTTTACATCTCGTGCCAAGATTTCGAAGCTGTACTTTTCTTTTCTAAGGTCTGCTGTTAATAAAAATATTTCCGCATTACTGCAGCAGACCACACTCTGTTTAATCCCTCAATACCAAGAGTGATATCTGTATCACCAAAAGCAAACACATGCTCATTAACTATTTAAGCAGCCGAGGACATGCCTTTTTAAGCAGATAAGAGTGCTTACTTGTTCCCAGTGTGGTGTTATTTGTATGGATGTCGGCCCAGTTCTGCACAAAGTCTGGTCTGGTCTGCTTGGCTGGTTCAACCGCCACCGTGGTGGACCGGAACATCGGACCAGAACCTGGAGCACTGAGGAGAGGAAAGGAGAGGAGAGGAGAAGACGAACGTGGGGGGGTGAGAAAAGGAAACAAGGAGACAATAAGGACAATTAGAAGAGTAAAAGAGGTTAAGTAGAAAAGTGGAAAGGAATTAATGAGGACAGAATAGGACAAAAGGAAACAAATAAAAAGGGGAGGAGAAAAGGAAAGGTTGAAAGGAACATAGGAAAGTGAAAAGGAACGGATGAAAGCATGAAGGGAAGAGGAGAAGAGATGACAAAAGGAAAGGAGAGGAGAAAAGTAAAGGAATAAAGAGGAAAGGAAGAGAACAAGAGGGAATAAGGAGACAAGCGTTGAGGAAGGCGAGAGGAGAGTGGAGCTGAAATCCAGCTGAAAATCAATTTGGCTATGCTCTTCCTTTCTCTCCCTTTGTGCCAGGAGCCAAACTGCATTGTTGCAAATCTGAAAATGGCAATGACAGCCGATACTGATACGCGACTTTCTGTACAGCGAGTGGGTTCAGCCTCACAACGTGATTGGTCAGAAACACTTTACAACCGTGCTGATTATCCCCATTAAGGACAGCAAGATGCATTTTATTGGTTGCTGTGCCAACGCTCATTGTAACCAGGGAGCTGGTTAGTGAACTCTGTTTTCTTCTGTTTCATTTATTTGTCTACAACACACGTCAGTCAGCGCATCAAGTGTTTTTATGTAGGCCCACATTTGGCTCAGTGGTCAAAAGCAGATCTATCTAAACTAGAACCTTCATGCATGGATTTAAAAGTTGTGGATATTGAAACGTGTCTCCAGGGACTATATATTTACTGGCAGGGACCTACATTCTTTTTCGCGTGGGCATCTCCAGGTTTTGACTCGCAGCTCTGAGCTCAAATTTTGCATTCATGTGCAATCGTATATATTTTGAGAAACCAAATTCTCTGTTTGGTAGCTCGCCAGATGAACTTTCATCATAGCATGTTTTCAGTGAGAAGCAGCTTCTTCCACATCATCTGTTTCCAGACCTCCGTGTTTGTTTATCATTTGTCTTGCAGGTTTTTCTTTTTTTTGAAGACAAACAGCACGTGAGCACAACACTGTTTGGCAGCCCACTTGAAAGTCCCAGATGTCGGAGCTTCCCACCAGCACATGAACACACACAGATATGTAGATCTTTCAGGAACATTAAGACGCAGCTGTAAAATAACTTTGACAAACATAAACACAGCAGGATGTTCCCTGTAATGGATTACCCAATTGAGGCAAGTTTGTAATGTCTGCAATCTGATGCTCGTAGAGCACAAACGGTCTTAATAATGTATGTAATGCTTTGGAAAATCAATAGGCCTTTTTAACAGAAGACACTCTGACGTGTCATTGTAGGAAAGACGGGTATAAATTGTAAAATTAAACATGGCTGAATTCCATTTAGCTGCTCCTTGCTCATTATCACACTGTCATATCTTACTGAGATACTTGAATTACATCATTATAGTTACACCTGCACATTTCCTCTATGACAAGTCAAAATGTCTGCGGCAGAGAAAGAATTTCTGATACATATTTCCAAGCTGCATGGAGCGGGCAACTGTAGCGACACTAGAGGAGCCGCAAATACTTGATGGTTCGAGTCATCCGTCGACAAGACCTTGAGTCGAATCACATTCTGTCAGTTTACATCTGTGAAGATGCACACTTTTATTTTCTCTGACTGTGTGGATATCTGATGTTTTCACATCACAGATGAGGAAGAAAGGAATTAAAGGTCCAGTGTGTAACATTTAAGAGGATCTATTGGCAGAAATGGAATATAATATTCATAATTATGTTTTCATTAGTTTATAATCACCTGCGTATAGGAATTGTTACGTTTTTGTTCCTTAGAAAGATTCTTTAATATCTACAGACGCCATGGGTTGCCTTCCATAGAGGCCACCAAGTTGAACTGACAGGACTAACCAAATAATGGCTCTAGATAGGGATCGCAACCACTGTAGTTTCTTCCTCGCACTTGGGAGGCGAGGGTAAAGCGAGTGAGTTATGATCTGCAACTAAACACTAAATCCTACTCACTAGACCTTTAAAACCAAAGGTAGGCGTTTCCAGCAAAGAAATTGTTGATATAGGAAGTGAGTGTGGTTCTGAACTGAAAAAAAGGAACAAATAGTTGAATCTTTGTATTGAACAGCGACATCAGCTGACTATATATACATGTATAATTAACTAACTAACTAAAACAAAAATAATGACTTAAAAGATGCTAAAACACTATAAGGGGATCTGAGTCAGGTGGTAATTCTCTATGTCACTTTATCTTTAATGCTTTGTTAAAATAAAAATATTGTTTGTTTTTTTGTTCTTCTTGCCATTGCAATGAAAGAGAAAATATCATATTTAACATTGTTCTCAAAAGGTCCTTTCAGTTACTGTGCAGAGGTGCATGTTACTCACCACTCCCCTGTCCTCCTCTCTTCATGCTTGTGGAGCCTCCTCAGCACTCTCTCCTCTCGCTTCTCCTCCCTTCGTCTCCTCTGCCTCCTGCAGGCCAGCGCTCTGTAAAACTCCCTCTGTTTCAGCTCCTTGAGGCGCTGGAGGACAAGCACATGGATTACGATTATTATTAATAATAGTTGCGTTGGTATATTGGTAAGTATTATTTTAACAGGAAGAATAAAGAGGTCAAGAGATAAAACAGTAAAATTATGTGTTAATGAATTTAGCTGATCATGCAGCATTTATTTTCTGTGTATGTGCGTGTTTATATGGCTGCTGTGCAATTATTTATCTGCTCTGTGTGTATAACATTGTGTGTGTGTGTGTGTGTGTGTGTGTGTGTGTGTGTGTGTCTGCATGTCAGTTCTTTGTATGTGTTTATGTGTGCTTACTAAGTCAGCCAGTGTCAGCTTTAGTAGAGTCCAGACCAGCTTAATTCACTTACTGAGCTCTGTCTGCAAGCCGGAGATACTGATACTGTGTGTGTGTGTGTGTGTGTGTGTGTGTGTGTGTGTGTGTGTGTGTGTGTGTGTGTGTGTGTGTGTGTGTGTGTGTGTGTGTGTGTGTGTGTGTGTGTGTGTGTGTGTGTGTGTGTGTGTGTGTGTGTCACAAATAATATTAATAATATACCGGTGGGTTCATATCACAGACAGACAGATGACAAGAGGCAGACAGACAGCGAGGCGGGCAGAGAAACCGACAAATAGATAAACAGACCAAAATAGACAGACAGATAAAACACAGAGGCAGGCAGACAGACAGATACAAATACAGAGGGACAAAGAGACAGGCAGGGAGACAGATGAAGTGTGTTATTTTAAAGTTCGCAGTGTAGCCTCAGCATTTCTTAGAAGGTGTACATACAGTGTGAGGGGTGGACAGGGAAAAAGACAAGAAAACCTCTCAACAGACTGCAATCCAATGTAAAAAAAAACAAAAAAACACACAAACTACAACCTTTAAATAAGAAATAAGAGTAAAATCAACACCCTTGGGGAGCCCGGATGGCGCGCCTGGTGGAGCCCGCGCCCCATGTCCCAAGGCCTTGCTGCAGCGGCCCTGGGTTTGAATCTGACCTGGCCCTTTGTTGTGTGTCATCCCCTCTCTCTCTATCCTGTTTCCTGTCTATCTTCAGCTGCTCTATCTAATAAAGGGAAAAAGCCCCACCCCCAAAAAATAAATAAATCAACATCCTTATGACAGTTGAAATAAAAAATAGACTTTATAAGCTTCTTAAAGTGAACAACAAAGTTTACAGCTTAACTGATGATAATAAATGTGTTTACAGTACATGCTTTATTAATATTGCTGCCAATTACATGAAAATGGAATAATTTAGGGGGAAATGTAATTTGTTTTAGGTTGTGCAAGCTGTTGTGTATTTTGGCCAGAGACAAAAAAACAAAAACCACGTATAATATTAATATAATTGATCTGAGAAAATATTGTACATAATGTAAGGTTCAGTGAAATAACAGCTGCATGACCTTTATGGAAGCTCTTCAAAATGTCAGTTTACATGTTTCTTTCTGGTGTTTTAACTCGACCACTGAAAATAATTGATTGAACACATGACACAGTGACCTGGCAGTAATACAGTAAGACTTGGAAGTGTGATTTTCAGTGTTTTTAGTCTGCAGTCTCTGCTGCTTGTTGGAGTAGGGCCATTTATTACAAGGCTGGAAACTCAAAGTCTCTATTTAAAGCCTGTATTCCCCCAAACTAAACAACATCTATGGTTTGATTGCTGACAAGATTGTAAGCAAGATAATCCAATCCGACCCTTGTAGTTCTAAAAAGTTGTACAATGCAAATGTATTCCTTTGAATGTTAGATATACCAACTTGTGTCCGTTGAGGAACGCTTCAGCAGCTCTTACTTTTTTTTGATTGTTGTGATACTGCATATTTCAAGTGTGAAATATCATCCAGTGCATTGATGGATGGAGAGGGAGGGAATGAATGAGACAGTGGACACAAACAGATAATGAAGGGCAGCATTTGTGCAGTGTTCAATAAGTGAATCAATAAACAAATATATAATGTGAAATGAATACAGAATCACACTCAAGATCCGCGGATACTCAATATTAAAGGATTATCATTATTGTTATATATATATATTTGTCCCCTGGGCCTGTGCACGGTGAGCCTGTTGATTCTTTGAGGGTATTTCCTTCTTTGTTGATGTTGTTATGTAGTGAAAATGTCCCTGACTGACCAGGAGCCAGATTCATGACTAAAATTCTGAATCAGCGCCTGCATACATGTTCTTTTTCTTTACATTTATGAAGTCATGCGTACACATGGTTCTGTTTTCAAAATCTCAATCGTCGTGGAAACTGGCACTAATTTCCACCCCCACAGTTCCCATAAATAGATATAGAAACACCCTTAATCATCTGCACATATTGATACTTCTGCCCACTCCACCACTCAGTCAACCTGTCAATGAAGAGAACGGTGAACAACAAGTGCGGTTGTGCTGTCGTATCAGTGAGGTCGTCCAACAGCACCTGTTGTAGCTATTTATAGTGCCCGTACCACTTATTCATCACATGTACCTGTAAACCATCATCAGAGGTTATAGCTCAATTATCATTATTTAACATCAGGAAGAGGATTAATGATAATTTTATAGAGCTCAGCAGGAAAAAGATTATTAACATGGAGAAATAATGTATAAATGCACCTTTTGATTGACATTTTACAGAACGCTGTGTGGACACAAAAATAATAAATCTGTGATAAGGGCACACAACCTAACAATGTTTTACTTTTAGATTGCGTTTTCACCTTATATTTCATGTCCACCTTATCATTTCACCTGCCACTATCTTTAGAGAACCATGTGTACGCTGGTCAGAAGCCTGCATGAGGTGTTCTCACATTCTCCCCGCTCACATTCTTCTTTATATAAATGCCAGTTTATGTTTGTGTGAGCACTTAGTTCAAAAATTTGGCCCCTGCTCTTAAATCTGTTATTCCCAGAGGAGAAATTCAGGTGTTGCAGCAGCACAAGGACATAAAATTACAACTGTTTACCAAAGGTATATTAATCCTCTCATATATTTACTAATGTTAAACTCACAAAACAGACAAAAGAACCATTTGTTAAAGATACCCTTCCTGTTTGTCATAAAGCACAGGGGGGTGCACCCAGTTTTCCCTGATATGGGGTAATGATAACTTGGACCATGGTAGAGCTGATGGTGGATTTAAAGAGTGGGCTGGCAAAGATTTAAGTAACTGACTTGTGTATAGAGGGAAAGACTAAAGAGCTTTGATCAGCTAGTGCAGATACATCATCCCTAATAACCACTTCTTTAAATACCTCCAGTTCATGACATTACAGACCCACTCCTTAGAGGAGCCATCCATGTCAGCTACAGAGAGGAGCCGAAGTTTTAAGGCCAATTGTCAGTAATTTATGTCACACTGCGGTCCAAATCAAAGGACAATTCACACTCAAGACTTAATGAGTCTACTAAAAGTAGATATTCTAGAGAGTGGTGAAGTGAATGCTTGTTTAAGAGCACAAACACAGCACTGACTCTGATACTATATAAATGGCTATTCAGAACCTTTGTGACACCAGTTAAACCTCCCCTACCTGATAATGTACCTGATGCAGTGATAATGGTGCTACTCTGCTGCACTGTATGTGGGAATACCAACAAAGCCAGTTGTTCTGGAAAGACACAATCAACCTGTCCTCATGCATAGCTGTTATAGAGGTCCTTCTTGAGGTGAATCGGGTATTTGTCCTGATTACTTTGTACCAGGCCCCTGATTAACATGTGCCTGCTTCAGGCTAGGGAAGTGATTGCACTGAGGTGGAACAGTATGGACGGCCCTATACCTGCAACGTGGTAATAGGAAATGGCGTCCTGCCTTGCTTTGGAGAAATTATGTAGGAAACCAAATGAATTCAGGGGAATATGGGACAAGTATGAAATTTAAATTAATGGTTGAAATTGATAAATATAACGACAGGACCTATAAAAAAAAAGTAGTATACCATTTGATGTTGGGGTGGAGGTGTGTGTGTGTGTGTGGGAGGTGTTTATACATGTATAAATGTTAATGTATGTATTACTGTGTATTCTTTTGATGCCAAAAACCAATAAATATTATGTTAAAATGAGTGTTTCCACCATACAGATTGATACAAAGGAACGTCCTTTAGTATAAGGGTAGTGACACCTGGTTCTTCAGTTGCTTTGCGCTCAAAGAGCCAAGGAGAGGTGACTATAAAAAGCATTGCTACATAGATCCTCTGATGTGAATGTTAAACATTCTCAGAGTTGAGCTGAGAGTCAGCACTTTAATCTCATTGTCATTGCTACCTTTCAGATCCAGAGTGCTGAATACCACAGCAATGTGTCACCTTCCTGCTACTTACAGATCTCACTGTATAAATTACATATTCAATTAGAAAAACACACACACAGCTTCCCTAAGCTGCATAATGTAGGATAAACTGTGCATGTGTTTCCTCAGTCGGACTCTGTCACAGCAGCACATCAACCGCTGGTGACGTAGCCTCTCTGTAAACCACTCTATTTCCAAAAGAAGACGGGAGTGTGACTGACCGTGAACCAAACGACGGGCAGCTTAGCTCTGTGTGTGCAGGCTGCCGAATATTACTGGGAGAAAATCCATTTCCTGCAAGTGTTGCAGTCTTGAACAATATGCCCTAAATGCTCTGCATCCTCAAGTAAACCTAATAACTCTGACACACAGCTAACTGTGAAAAATAATATGCCTCTTTCATCGCTTGCAAGTGAACAAATGATAATTGCAGCAAATACATTCCTCCCAGCACCTATAATTTTGTAAACACCCAAACAGCTGCAAGTTCTTAAAGTTGCCTTCCTCCACATCCCACTATGGAACAAACTCTTTTTCCATCCAACTGAAAAAGAAAACTGATGAGAAAAACTGAAGCAATATCACAGAGACATGACAAGTCCCTCCATTTTTTACCTAAGCAGGGTGTATTATTGATAACCAGCGTATTGATTTTAACCTAGAATGATGCCCTAGATAACTGCAATGAATATTCTTTTAATTGACAGCAGTGTAATAACATTTTTCTGAAGAGATTATTAAGAGTTTTCCTTATTTTAGGATTCAGTTAAATCTACAAGTGAGAGAGAGAGTACCGTCACGTACAATAATCTTTTAGCCAGGTATAAGACATCCAATGAATTGCTTCTGATGTTATAAGATATTGAGCATGACATTCTAAAACATAGATTGCATATGATAACAAACGGGGATGTTTGTTTTTTGCTAAGCCATCAAATAAAATAGCTGACAAATCACAATTATGCTTCACATGGATGCAAAATGAATATAAAAATCCAATATTGTTTTGAAGCAGTTCTGCTCATTGATTTGTAGTGTTTTCCAAATGATGTAAACAGGGATTGTAAACAGGAAGTGTGATGGTATGCTATGGATTTAGTGGGTAATTCTTCAGGTTGTACATTAAAACTGTGCAGAATTAGCAGTTCCCATTGCAGATGTACATGTAACTGTCACTGGATTACTTGGGACAAAAAATAATGTGATCATTCTCATAGCAAGTTCTGGAGTTAAACATCTTTATTTTGTTTTACTAAGCAGATTTACACATTTATTCGAAATAGACATCAGAGTTATCCTATAGTAAATTACACTGAATGTAAAAATGTGTGTTCATTGTTGTTTAACAGTGTCTTCTCACTGCAACACACCTAGCTCCCATAGCTGATCAATACTTCCTCATCGTACACTGATTGGTGCGGTACCACTGTACTGGACTGAAGATGGATTCTCCCATGATTTGTGATCTTGCGAGCTGCCTCACAAAGTTGAACTACAATAACTAACTAGCATGTACCTGTCCCTTTTACTTCACGCAGTATGATTTGCCTCACGTCTCGCCCTCCGTGCCTTCCCTTGAATTAAATGAATGCAGAAAATATAATATATATATATATATAATCACATATTACTCATTGAAAAAGAAATTTGGGGAATTACTTTTTTTTACTCAAGGTTCTTGATCCTTGAAGGTTCTTCAAACTACTTAAAAGCTTTCACACCCACACATATATTCTGTATTTACTGACCATCAGCAGCTGGCCTAATGTTAGCTACCTGATCACATTTTAGAGTGCCTTATGCATTACTGCCCAGAAATACGCCAAAAAATGCAGATTTTAATGTTGCTTGTTGGGTGTTCAGGTGTCAGGTGGATGTTTGCAGTGCTAGTGGTCATAAGAGCTGATATTATTGTGTTTTTGTGTGATCTGTGTCATCCACAGTTTGTGGAACAGAAACCAGAGCAGAGTGCTTGTTGAGGCCCTGGGATGTAATAAATCCTTGACCTTGGTTGAGAGGGTTTAGGGTGTTGAGCGGCAGGATAAACCAGGCCTCTGACTGGCTTGTTAAGGTGGTGTGACTAACCTGCTTGTGGTGGTGGTCGTAGGAGTTAATGTGGTTGTCGTACTGTTGGTGTCTCACGTACTGCTTATCGCACAGCTCGCAGTAGAAACTGGAGTCTCCTTCCTC